CAGAGGCAGAGAAAGCGAGGCACCCTGTTTTCTTTACAGAGGTATTGCTCTATTTTTTGCAAGGAAATGCAGTACCGAAAGGAGACAAAGTATAATTCAAGGTAGAGTCCTCCTGTGAGAATGCACAGGTGACCTTAGAGAGGGTGATGTTTTCCCTGAGATGGGAGTTAACCAGCTAACCTTAAGGGACAACCATCAGTAAATGGGTAGCTGGTCCAAATGTGCCTGCTACTCAAAGGTATAGCCACTGTTGAGATTGTAAGACCCAAAAATCTCAGAAATCTGTGGAGAGCCCCAATGATTTTCATAGGCTTTACATCAGAAGTTTCCCTTCGAACACCACCATATTTTTCTCTAAAAATGAAGAAATTTTTCAACTATAGCTTTTTCTTCTGTTTTCCCTTTTGATGAATATGAAACTATGATACCACTCAAGCAAATCAGCCACTCAGGGATCCTTCATGTTGTGTAATTACTGTCATCTCAAAATAGGTGATATCCAGTCTGGGGTGCTCTGAGAAAGTTGTTGTAATTTGAGTGTAACTTAGGGTTCAGATGCAAGAAAGACCTGGTGGGAGTGGATCCTCACTACCTGGCTATGTGTTTACTCCCACCCTGTGGCAGACCCCTCCGAGTGCCCTCAGCTGAGCCTGCTGAGGGAGAGCAGCATTCACATAAAACAGCCCAGTTTGCTCACAGAGAGAGTTATCCCAGCTTGGCTGACACACAACAAAACCATCAGTGACTTGTTTTCTGAGCTCTCAGCTAAATTAGCCACAGTTGTTATTAGCTGAATAATTGAAACTACAGCTCTCAAGATTTTTATTTTGGGGGGATGTTTTTAAAAGTTGCTTACCTAATCTACAAATATGAGTACTTGTCTTTCTGTGATTTTCATTTAAGGAGCTGACATGAAGCCCCATCTTGCCCTCTAAATTATTATGAGATTTCATCCAAAGTGTAAATCACCAGTGACCCCTGATTCAAATACAGATTCCAGACCCAATCCTTTATGATTTTTCTTCATCATGAGAGTCATCCTCCATACACCACTGTAGAGGAAAAGGTATTTGTAATTGCTGCTTTCAGGACAAAAAATAAGCTGAGTAAAACAGTCCCACTGTACAAGATTACAATCACAGATCCAAGTTCACCAGTATTCAGGGAGGAATTGTCATATTATATGACCTGAAAGGAGTTTACTGTAGTTATTGGAAATCAACCATATTGTCAAGAGGTTGTACAGAGTACCTGCAGAGAAAAATAAGTCCAATGTGCTACACAAAAAATAATTACGAAGTCAACCCCTGATTATTTTCATAGAAATTGAAGACTGCTGGTTTATTTCATGGAAAAGCTTCCAGCTAATATAGTTAAAATATCTATGCCTCAGTAGATTTTCAGCATGAATCCACATTGGAGCTAAGACATGACATTTTTCTTCTGTCTGCAAATGATCTCAGGTATGAAGCAACTGGTCAAGCTGAACTCTACAGAGTACTTAGTATAGAGTAGCTATATATATATGCAGTCTTGAAGGCTGTAAAATGGCTCATAACTGAGCTATGGCAGCTTCCAGGTGTGGAGGACTATACCATCAAACAGCCTTGCAGCATTTTTATGTGTGCAGTTTCAGCTGTAGTAAAAATGAGACATCCTCTATTTTCCCATTGTGACCAGCGAACACCAGTGATTTTCCAGGGACTGTTCCTTGCCTCAAACCCTGTCCTACCTCAAAAGGATATCTTTCTCCTGGGATGGAAGTTGCTGACTCCTCCAAGGAAACGCTGCACCTACAACACAGATTTATGAAATTATCCAATTAAAGAGCAGACACAGAGCAATTGTAAAAAGGGAATTAAGGTGGGAAATCATCGAATGTCCTACTGCCCAAGGAATCTCAACATGGAATTGGTGTCAGTACCAGATCTGTGCTTACCACAGTAGGGTTAACTAGATCCCACATAAACTTAAACCTTTCCTCTGTCTTCAAGGATAAAGACCTTCACAGTTTACTTAATAAAGCAGCTGGAAAACCAGCCAACCCAGCTCAAGTCACCGTCTCTTAGCACTTCATTGTGGTGGTGCTGACAACTAATGCAGTGCAGGGATGATAAGGAAGGGACTTCTGTCTCTAGTTAATGTTGGCAGAATCTTGACTATATTGAATTGCACAGGACTAGTGACACACACACATCCAGTGCAAAGGAGTGGAATGCATTGCTATCAGCTGAGCCACTACATGCTATACTAGCTAAGGTAGTATCAGTGATGGATGAAAAAGCCTAACTCAACAATTCCTAAGAATATTTAATCCATGTATTTATTATGAAGGCTTAAACTCTTAGATTCAGCCTTTTATTATGTTTTGAAAATTCTCCGTTTTGAGATTGTAAAGTCACTGCTGCAGAAACTTGATTTGATGCCTTTTAACCATGACTATTTGAATATTTAGATGCCTGATGTTCAGCCCTGGGAGGCTAAGTACTCATGTGGCTTGCTTCTAGTAGTAATGTAATCAAACAATTTTTTTTTAGCCCTGTTTGTGCTCTCAAATCTTGCCAGGGTGGCCTTAGCCCAAAAGAGAATGAGCTGCTTGTTTGTGAGGCACTTTTCCTTTTACTGCATACTCTTGGGAAGACTTGTGTCACTGAAAATTATCAATCCCTGTGGACAAGTTCTCCCCTGGCATTCACTCTCACTGACCTTTCCCTGCACGTGGGAATGATTCCAACCATGCTTTATAAGCAGTGGTCTTTTATCCTTCATCAGAGTTGTCCAAGGGGATTTCTACTTTCTTAATATTCCTCCTGCTCTGTTTTTTGTGGTAATAAAGAGAAGCAAGGAGGGAACAATGACTGTAGAATAAGGAGGAGGAGAGGCAGGTAAACCTCTGGGAGCCATTGTACACAAGGAGGAGATACCACTCTCTGTGTCCAGGGAAAGATAATGAATTTCATTACTTACTTCCTCTAGTAATCTTTGCATTTTGGGACAGATCTTTCCCTACTACAGCCCAGTACTTGACCATAAGCTTAACTTTAAAAACACAGGCAGCTGTAGTCTGAAAACAGTGGGATGTGTTTGCCTACTTTACCACTTTCCTAAAGGCAAATTGTTCCCCTTTTCAGAATCAAACCCTAAAAAAGAGCCTGGGAAAATGAGCCTGGGGTAGAACAACAGAGCAATAGGCTAGAAAGATATAAAACTGTTGTAGAAAGTCATTTCTAGTTAGGAAAATGTGACTTGCAAGACTAATTTGAGGATATATCTGTCATGAGCCAGATAAGATGAGCCAAGACTTTTAAATCAGTCCATCCCTCCTTACTTTGGCTATTAGCAAAGAAAAAGAAACTTTGTGCATAACAGGGAGAATATGATGCTGAGCTAATTGAACGTGCATGCAGAGGGAGCAGCAGATGACAAGGACAGGGTTGGCAGGATGTTGTCAGATTGTTTGATTAGCAATGGGACGGTTCAAAACTCCCTGTCCTACCAGGGACTTGGCACAGATGCTGACACATGACTCAGTCCTCAAGTAGTTGTTCACAGCAATACTGTTTGGGAAATAGTCTGCTTCTCTGAAAACAGGAAAGGAATTAATAAAAACAAAAACAAGGATGTGAAAGAAAGACTACAAGACTTTGTCTATAAATGTTAGGCTCTGGCTCTTCTTTCTTCAAATACCATACAGGCTTCAGATGAAATGAGATATTTGAGGTGGGATAAAAACCAGATAGTCTGAAATTAAATCTAGCAAGAGTAATATGAGGGAGCATTGATGAGTAGGTGTTTTCTTTCCACTTCAGTCGATATCCACCTTATTGTTTTTCTCTGTGTGTCAGTTTAGACCAAACAGCCACAGAAATGAAATGAGGGGAGGAAAAAAAAAAAAAAAAAAGAAAGAAAATGTGGTGGATTTTTAGGGTTTTGGTTTGGGTTTTTTGTGGGGATTTTTTCTATGGAACAAACATTAAGAAAAGCAGTGGTACTATCTTCTAATGCACCAAAGTTGCATCTGTGCTCTAGAGAAGCTAAGAAAAAAAGAGCAGATTTTGGTCATGTGTATATAGGGGTGTGGAGAAAGTCTCAAACACCAAACCTACCTACAGAAGACATATAATAATTGTCTTTGATTACTAACAGCTGGTTTTTCAGTCTAGAGACAAAATATATATGGATTAAGAGCAATTTATTGAGCCATCAAAATCAGTATCTTCAGAAAGAATCGAGATTGTTGATGTTATAGCAAAGATATAATCCAGGTTATGTTGTTCAGACACACAGGTAAATATTGTCATTTGAGTGAAGACAGTTCAGAAAAATTAGAGGATCTATTATCTCCCCCGAGACTTTAAAGATAGCTTGAATTATGAAATAACAACCTAAACACCTCAGAAAAAAGATATACATTAATGTTAATTTTATAAATTTTGTGTAACATATAATAAGCTGACATGAGTCTGGACAGCTCTATTAAAGTCAACAGAGTAGAACTAGCTTTTATCTTGTGACATCTAATACAGAGTGTACATGAAACATATATAAAAATCCTATAGGTATGTGGAAAAATACTGTAATATAGTCAAAAGTCTATAATGGGATTTCATATGTCTGTTTACTTCCTTCCAAACTGTACATGTAACTACGATCTTGTCAGTTTTCCAGCGTGTTCAGATGGATGTAATACTTCTCTCTAACACGTCAGTTTTCTGACTAACCTCTCACAATAATCTATGATACCATTCCCTGACAGCTTACCACTGCTTTACATAAAATATGAAGGTTTTTCTGCAGTCACAAGTTGGATTCATATTCCATAATAAGAGTGTGTGGGAAGTGTATGTAAGCATAGATGTAAGTGTACATATGTGTAAATAGACAGACACACACACAAATCCAAAAGTATCTGCCTGTGAATCATGAGAATTACAATTAGAAAATAGCAAGCAGTGCCAAGCTGAATATTTCTCCTAAACTGAACATCCTTTCTTTTCCAGCTTTGTGGAAGGCTCCTTTGTATTCCGTGACCACAAAATTCTGTGCACCATCAGTGGAGTAACAACATATTGCTGAGAAGTGAACTCCTTGCTTGAAGAGACTTTGCAATTTTTTTAGAAGAGAACTGCCTCCAATTTCAGTCGGATTCATTAATTTACATTGTGATTTTCAAATGACTCATATTTCTTTTAGTAAAACAGACTAAAGAACACAACATCAAATGCCCAAGTAGGTATAGTTTCCTGTTCCAAGTCCCTCTGGAAATCCTGGAAACACAAGAACTGTTCAAAATGTTGTCATCTTTTCATGGCAACATCATTAGCTGAAGTTCCTCTATTTTAGCAGTCCACTGCCTTCACACCTGATTTAGAAGGCAGTGGGTGAAGAGCACATTTGCTTACACACTGCCCAAGCAGCTCAGACTGCCATGTCACACACACACCACGGTCATTTCCCTTTATTTCTTGCATTTTAGGAGTTCTGAGTATAGGTGAAGTACTGTTACAATGCCAAAGAGTAATTGCATTTTAGGTGCTATTTCATGGCAGCAGAGATAATTCAAACCTCAGGTTGATTCCAGGTTTCAAATATCAGAAAGGTGGAGCTGTCTGTTCAAGGGTTCCAAACTTACCTCAAGACTCACACTGGGCAAATGTTAAGTCCAGGGATTTGCCCATAATTAATTTTTTTTAGTGCAGGAAGAATCGACTCATATGGAAAACTACTGTAAAAGAAAATTTGACAAAGATGATGCCACAGTAACTTTTACTCTCCTGAGATGTTAAACCCGTGCAAGACAATTTATGAAATAGATAATGAGTGTTTGAAAAGCAGTGGTTAGTTACACTTTAGATAACAACCTCAATGAGCCAGCTGTCAGGAAAGTGATGGATTCAGCTTCTATTCTATGTTTACCTGCAGAAAACTCTGCTGAGACACAAGTAGGATACTCACATCTCTCTCTAGACAGAAAGTTCATGATAACAGGGGATTTGAAGAGACAGAAGATTGATTTTCATGAAAAGATGAACTAGTCATATTTCTTTTTACTTTTATCACCTAGTTGAACAGTTTAACTTTTGAGGAATGTAAATAAATTTATGTTGAATGCTAAATAAACTTTTTCTTTCTTTTTATCAATTTCCTTTTCTTTCTCTTTTTAATAAGTATTGTTTGGGTTGAGACCATGTTCATAAAGGCAATTCATGCAGGAGTCACAGAGAAAACAGGTGCTGTAAATTTTGAACAGAAGTGCTGAAAAGCAATGCAAAAGAGAGTATGGAAACCAAAATTACCGCTTTTGTCTGAGGGATTCAAGGTATAGAAGTAGTTTGCATGGAACTCCTAAGATGTCTCCTTCCATGTTTCTGGCAGAACTGACACAGGGTAGTGTATACATCCACAGCTGTATTCCCATTAAATCACTGGCAATAAAATGCTCCAGAATGAGACCCAAGTGCTCACATGCAGCACTACAAGGGGGCACCCAAAATGAGAGCTGCATGATCAGTGTCTGCAATGACACAATGTGCACAACTGGGCCTGATTTTCTCCATTCAAAACTGGAGACAGGCAGGTAAAATGGAGCCAATGACTCTAAAAGGAGTCATGACCAACCAGTGCCTTGAAGACCCCTTCTCCTGTGGAAGGAGACCATAATCCCTACTCAGCAGCCATCAGAGGAGCCAGAGGTGGCAGAGAAGGAGTGGAATTTGCCTCATGAGAAAAGCAACTGGATTATAATATAGCCCATATGATGGTTATATATATTGACCAATATCTATTTCTTTAAGGTATTAGTAATATCCAACAGAGGTAGGATAGTACTGACACTCTCATAAATGGCTGATGTGGGGTCATGTGTGGGACAGCATGAAGCTTCATTCCCACAGGTTAAAGGAAGTTGGAGTTAAATTCTAGCAGATGAAGAAATAACTTTGGAGAAAACTACAGCAGCTCAGCTTACTTAACTTAGCAAAATAATATGGTGCAAAACTGAAAGGAAATTTAAGAACCCATCAGAAGAATAAAAATGGGAAGATTTTTGCCTCCATAACCTTCCAATAAAAACTATTAATATGCTTATTATTCAGTATAATGCTTAGCTCCTTAGAATTGATAAGCAGCACTCAGATACTATACGGAGATCCATTAAAGAAAAAAGAACTAACCGCCACATTGTTTCTCCCTTGTACCAAGATCAAGCTTAAGCCTTTCTCTTTCACATACAGGACTAGAAACAGAATACTTTTGAGACTTGGCATCAGTCCCTGTTACGAAGCAGCAGGTGAGATGCAGAATCCTACGCAGTTTGCTTGCATCCTCTCAGTGGTTTCAGCTATCATCAGCTAGTTTCTGCAAATCCCTCCTATACTGTCCTCCTCATGCCTTCAAAGCTTGTTCAATGCCTCACAAGTGGATCATAGAATCATAGAACAGCCTGGGTTGAAAGGGACCTTAAAGATCATCTAGTCCCTTGCCTTGGGCAGGGACAAATTCCACTAGACCAGGTTGCTCAAATCCTCATCCAACAAATGGATGACAACACCTCTTCCATACCACTGCTATGTCAAATAAAATCTGCGTCTCTTCTTCTCCTCTCACAACAAAGTCAGAGTTGCAGAGACTCCCAGTGACAGAGAACAACAATCCAGCCCACTCGTATCACCAGGCCGTTATGCGTCATTGCCGTGCATCATCAAGTGGCGATGTCACCCCCACACATGAAATAATAATGGCCCAACAGATGTGAGAGTCATTGCATTTCTGTATAGAGCTGTTGGAAGACAAACTAACGACACAGAGGAGTAGATTTGTAGGGAAGTAGTTCTGGCAGTTTCTTCAGAGGTTTTGATGTAATCAAAAAGGATTGCTTTTTTGTTTTTATTTCCTTTCGTTTTGTTTTTTAAATACTATTTTTTCTGTTTCAGGGAGGTTTTGTGACAAAGTTTCTAATTTACCTCTCAGCTACCATCAATAAATCAGTACTGGGCTCATAAGTACTTCTAAAAACATCACAGATTTCTCATTAAATTCTTCCCCTATTATGGAAGACATTCGCCTCTTCCAGATAGTCCCTCTGTTTTGTTGTTTTGATATCTTTCTGCCATGCAAAGCTAAAAGAAAAAAATTCTCTTCATCTTTTGCACTCACAAGGACATGTCCCCAGCAAATCCGTGGATGCCAAAATACAATGGGCAGAGCTTGCCACTAACTGTGGTTCATCATGGAAGACAGTCACTGTTAGCATAAGGCTGTGCTTTATTCAATGTTCCCCACAAACACTTTAAGACTACTCTGGTAAAGCCTTGGTAACTTCTAATTAGGGAAGTAAGTCTCATAAAAAATGTTCTTTATAACAACCTATTCAGAGATCTTTATTTCTTAGAATATTGACATTTTGGGATGACATTTGTCTTTATAGGAGATGTTGGACATTAGAAGATGGATTTAAATTGTGAAACATGAAGCTTTTTAAGTTACCATTGCCTCACAATGACACGGTGTAAATCAAATACATGATCAGCCCCATAACTGTACCTTGAACTTGCTACATGATCCCAAGAAATTCAGTTATTTTTCTGTGTTTCATTTTTCTCCCACGGGGAAACAATATTCAGAGAGTAATGCTTGCTCAAACAATTTGCTGTCTGGTCATAAGAATATGAGCATGTATTTTAAGGTGTACATGTTAATCTATATTTACATATGTGGTTATCCATAGCTTTTCTGCTTTCCTGAGCTCTGCTCATGCTCTGCTTTGACTGACTCATGCTGCTTGCTCCCACGTCACACTTCTGCCTGTGCCTAACATCCTCAGGACAGTGCCGTGGGGACACCCAGTACCTATCATACATGGTCCCCCCTGGATCTGTGCTGCAACCCTTACCCAAAATCCACAAATGATGCAGGGAACAAAGGGGAGTGATGCCCTGCCCAGCAGCAGCCTCCACATGGGGCCATGAGGAGGATTTCATGCTGCATCATCTGCCACCACTGGCACCTCATCCAGGGAAAGCCCCTCCCACATATCTATCACCTGGCTGATTTTAATGAGTAAGCTCATATGCTGTGAAGTAAGTGCTAAGAGTTAACATTAGGCTTGCTGATGGGGTAATAAATCACATGCTGATATTTATATCCACGTACATTTTCCTGAAGGTGTTGCACCTCTAGGCCAGTCTGCTCAAAGCTGCAGTGCAAACCAGCAGCAGATTGAAATAATAACCCCAGCACTGCTGTCTTCCAGGCCACCATTCTCCTGAGCTGTATTTCAGCCAGTTAAAATGAATTCTGCAGAGCACAAACAAAATTTATTATGAAACAAGGCAAAGGAGTACTGAGATGCTCCCTCAGGATAGCAGCAAACTCCCTGGGCCCTCGCTATTTTGGTAGTCTTTGCTGTCATAGTGACAAGAAGTGACTTGTAGCCCTTGCACAAGGTATTGGAAACACCAAAACCAACAGTCTTGTGCATTAACAGGGGTGAATTAACACTATCTCAGAGCTGCTCATAGTTCCTCTGAGTGAAATGAGTGTGCTAACAATGATTCACACACTGCTGCTGAAACAATAACTCATCCCAGAAATCCCAGCAGTGCACTATAAAGTAACCTGGGTGTGTAATCATAGCGAGCACCATGCTAACACAGCTGCTGCTCCTCGCAACCATTACATTTCCCTGGGCTCTGTACCATGTTCTTTCTAACAAGGTGGGGTACATCAGCCTTTGGTCAGAGAAGAGTCTGCCTAAAAAAAATTAGCACCTGAGGGTTAACAGGCAGAAGGAGCCCAGCCCCTGTAGTGTAGCTGATGTGACCTGTGACATCTTTGCCTGTCCTGAAAGGCAGAAGCACAGATATTGTATTCTGTAGAATAACATGTATCTTTGTGGCCACAGCAATACGTGGGGGAAAAGTCATAAGCAGGAGTATAGAAGCAGTAAAATTAAGTTAGGGCCTTGGTAAATAGTGGGTGCTGTTCCTGTATGGTTCTGCCAAACATCTCTAGCAGCTCAAAACAAACAGGAACTGTCCAGTGAAGTGCAGTCCTGGTGCCTTCTGAAAGAAACTCCAGGAGATGCTCTAGGGTATTAGCAAGCCTTTATTGCAAAAGGCTTACAAAGTAGGTCATTGTGTGCCACAGAAAACAGTATCTCTAATAAATCCACAGCAACTTTAATTTTGTCTCCATCTTATAGAATAAGTACCAGCATCTATCAACAACTTCAGAGGAATTTACAGGCACTCTCTGCACTGGAAACCAGCCAGTGGGGCCATTTTGAGTTTTGTGATGCCAGAAGGGAAATAACTCAGAAGGATCTTTCTGAGCAGAGTTTTAGTATAGATTCTGGCCTGGCTCAGATCCAGGGCATACAGTGCACCAAGACTGAGTAGGGAGACAATTCATTCATTTGACACTCAAGAGAGATTTCAGCTGGGTTTCATTTATATTTTATTGTGAATGTGTTTTTCCTACCCATTACTCAACTATGCAGCAACAAAAATATTTTTTAAACCCTATGTTCTGTTAGACTGCTCTAAAGTTATGCGTTGTTTTTACCCTTAATAGGTGCCAAACAAAATTCTTTAAGAGATGAAATCACTCTAGATATCGTGTCTTTCTCCAGGTAAGTTATTCATGTAGACATTCCATGTTGCTATGATCAGACAATCATAGCATGTGTGGTACCACAAAATGGCAGCAAGTGAATTATCTTTTTTGAAATTCACAGAATGTGTTAGAGTCTGGATTGGGCAACATATACTGTGCTGCAAACTGCTGTGTAGATATCAGCTAGTAGCATGGCCCATCACTGTCATTTACATAGTCTATGCATAGGCATGCTGGTGTCACCTGCCCCCTTAAACTCTGAAGGTCAAGGAAAAACTTAGGAAATTCGGAATTAAGAATCTAGAGGATCCTTACTGATAATATACATGTAAGTCCACAAGGGATGTCATCTTCTGGGAAGAAGTCTCAGTCTCCTGTCACCCTCAGGGAAGAGCACTAATGCCTTCTTTCTGCTATCAAAGAGGTAATATTGCTTACTCATCCCCAATTCCATAGCACCAAAGGATTCATGAACCTTGAAGTTCCCTCTTT